CGCAAGTTCAGTCAGTAAAGCCCTCCACCATGCCCACCCCGATCCTCCCACATGTCCTCCGGCCATGCTGGCGAACACAACCTCTCTGCGCCATGGGCACTCCATGCTCGGCGAGGCTGGCAGCGGCGGCGGCGGCACAAAGAAGCCCCGTCCATCGGGGGGGGGTGAGGGGTGGGAGGGAGGGTATATGATGTGAATAACGAGAGGGAGAAAGAGGGCTGGGACACATACCGAATTCCTCCTGCTCTCGTGACGCGGAAGAGAGCTAGGGAGAAGGCTGGGACACATACCGAAACTCTCCTGCTCTCGTGATGTCGTGACATCGGCCCCTCCGGGCGCAAAGGCTGGAGGCGGACGGGAGGGAGGGAGGGATATGTGAGGGAGCAGAGGGAGGAGGAAAGGCTGGGACACAGACCACGTCTCCTTCAGAAATACGCACTCCCTGCAAGCCCCTCCGAACGTCCTCCTCTCCTCCACCTCCTCCTCTCCTAGGCCAGCAGCTGGGCCGCCAGCGGGCCACTCGATGGTGAAAGTGTAGAGCACGAAGTAATGAGGCTGGGACGCAGGCTTGCATCCTCCGGCTCTCAACGACTGAGCCGTGAGACGGCGACTCATGGGGCAAAGGCGCAGACTCGCGATCGTCCCTCGCCTCTCTCGCTCGCCGGCCCTCGTCTACGAGACAGCAATGCCTCCGTAGTCGATAACCGCCAGAACACCGTACCTGGACGGGGGAAGGACATCTTCACACCCTCGCGACACGGACGAACGACGACGGCGGAGGCAAACAAGACGATTACCTTCGCGCTAGCCGATGAGGGAGGGGATCTGACATAAAACAGTATGTCGTAATTACATGTCATACAGAGCAAATATCTGCATGCACGCGCAGCTCAGCAACGCTCTAGCTGCGAAGGAGCCGATGACGGTGCGGGAGCCTCTGGTCGAGGCGCAACTGCCGGCAGCGGCGGTGGCCCATTAGGGGCTGCAAACTTTGCAGGTGCAATCCGTTGCCACAACGGCTCGCGGGCCGCCTGCCTCGGGACGGCGAAGGCCGCGGGCGGTGGGTAGCTGGCGTTCGAGCAGGGCTCGACAGCGGCGGCAGCACTCCTCTGCGGCACCGGGGCCGTCTCGGCGGTAGCAGTGGCCCGAGCCTGCACAGAGGGGGCGCCGGAGGAGCCTCCAGAGTCCAGCGCGGCCCGCCGCCCGACGGCCTCATCCACCAGGCGCCGCAGCTCGCACGCCCGACTCCGGAAGTCCTGCACCTGCGGGGTGGATGGGGCCGCCTTCTCCCTCCAGTACAGCACGGTCTCTACCCTGGACAGCTGCTGCTTAAGGAGGCGGACCGCGCCGTCCGCCGCCTGGATGTCCGTGGTAGGCTGCATGCGCTGCACCCTCTGCATCGCCGTAGGCGGAGCAGCCGTGGGCGGAGCAGCCTCAGGAGGAACAGCCTCTGAGGCAGCATCGGCTCGCAGAGTCTCGGCTTGCGGCACCCGCGGCACCCGCGGCAGCCTCTCCATCGCCGACGGCCGAGGCAGAGCAGCCGCAGGCGGTGCAGGCTCGGGGGCACCAGCGACCATTTGGCTCTCAGCAAGCTGCACAAGAGCAGCAGCAGCCGCGGCGCGGGCCTCGTCCACGCGGTCGGCCGCGTGCTGCGGCGGCCGGCTCATCCCGAATGCCGGAGGAGCAACCTCTGTGGCATCGGGCGTCGTCGCTGCATCCGCGGCGGCCTCGGCGACCACCTCGTCGAACGCCGCGTCGACGCGCGGCTGACCCTCTCCGGCACCGCGCGCAGCGGCGGCGCGGCGTCTGGGCCACGCACTCCGGCATGCCGTCGCCTGGCACATGGCATCAAAGGACACGACATCGGCGGTGGCCTGTGCCTCAGCCGTCACCTGCTGCACGAGGAAGCCGCCAAACCCGAGGACGATCGGCTGCTCCCGACCGTCGCCACCTGCAGGACTTGGATCCTCTCCAGCAGGAAGGTGCGCAGGAGGACGGCCATCAGTGCCTGAAGCCTGCATTGCGCCGACGACCGCGGACTCCAACTTCTCGACGCCGTCGGGGAACTCGCCGTCCGCCTGCGTCTCGCCCTTCGTGGCGCAGACAGGCGGCAGCGTCGGCCACCACATCGGCGGCGGCCCGACCAATGGCAGATCGGCGGCACTCAGCGTCGTCAGCCTCGGCGGCGGCGGCGAGGGCCACCAGATCGGCGCGCTGGGCGCCGGGGGCGGCAGCGCTCCGGGCAGCCAGCACCATGCGGCCTCGGCCACCTGGGCACCCGCAGCATCACCATCTGCATGTACAGGACCGGCATCGTGGTCGCGAAGTAGCACACGTGGATGGTCGTCCGCTGGCGGCACGTCATGCTGCCGCACAGCAGGTGAAAGCAGAACGGGACGGCGAATCAGCGCGGCGACCAGCGCGGCGACGTCCTGCATGTGCGGGCGGCGGCCGACGCGGGCCGCGTAGCCGAGTCTCCGCGCAGGGGCACGGAGGTCCGGCCTCGGCTGGCTGCAGCAGCGCCGGCCGGAGAAGCCTCGTCGCGCGCGGCTAGCCCTCCACTCGCCTGGGCAGGGCGAGGCGAGGCGGCCGGCGCGCATGGGCTCAAGCCGTTAGTCCGCAGCTGCCGAAATGGGGCAATACGGCTGCGACTACGGCTCGGACCTAGGGGGAGGAGGGAGGGAGGGAGGGAGGGAGACTCAGAGACTCAGACTTCTGGCGAAGCGAGTTCGAATAAAGTTAGACCTCACCAAAATGCCTGACATTCCCCATCGCCTTGGGTGGGAGGCCTCGGCTGATGCGGTCGAGGTATTGCTTGCCCGTCCTGGTCGGGGGCTTGCAGGCGTAGGCAAGACCGACGATCCTAGACTGTCCCATACGTCCGCAGGGGGCACAGAACCAGACAGCAAGGGTTTCATGGAACACCATGTTGTGAGAAGGGTCGACCCATCCCCCAGCGAGATGTAAACGCCGCCCCATGAGGGACCCGAAGCGTGTGACTGGTGCACATCACAAGATGGAACCATTCAGACTTTAAACACTCCCCCCTCGCCGCCGCAGTCGTGGACCCACGGCAAACCTGACATTTCATCCCGCATTCACTTATGGAGTGGGTGGAGCCAAAAAAGGCTACCGCGGCGGGGGGGGAGGGGGCGGAATGGAAGCACGAACAACAGCAGGGGGGACGTTTTTCTCATCCTTCGACCTCTCAAGTTCGGCAACCTATAGGGTCGCCCGTAACAAACGATGGCGGATACGACAGGCATCGGCTTCGACTACATTCACTCTATGACGCTGCGTCTCGGGGATTCTAGCTTGCGAGGCGGCTTGTCCTGCAAAATGATCGGCAAAAGATTGCCTTCGACCATCCATCTCGGAATGTCACGTTGGAGGGTCTCCGAGAGCTCTAAATGGGAGGGGACTATGAGGACGACTATCCCCCCCTGGGTCCCTCTCCTGCGTAGAAAGCTCATTACCTATCTGTCGCCACAAATCTAGGTTGGAGCCTCTAGGGTTGGTGTACGATCGATCCCACCACCCCGAGCAAACTCCGTCATTATCTGTGACAAATACTAAGCGGCCTCGAGTGAGGCGGATAGCTACGGAGAGCGCGTATAGCTCTCCTCTGGCCACTGTTTGGACTGTCCCAGGGAGGGGTCCAAGCAAGAAGGAATCTCATCGGAGCGCCACTTAGAGGAATCAACAACCGCAACCCCCCACGCGTCTGAGCCGAGGGTCGTGGGTGCCGGGGCCTCCCGATGCATGCCCGTGTAGGATAAAAGGGTGCTCAGGAGAGCCTATTCCGAAAACGGTGGGGCCGATCTCATTCGCTTCTGGATGGACCGACCAGCATTCCTCTTCCACAGGCGGGTCCACTCGGGTCCAAGGGGACGGGATCAACCCCCTAAACCATCAGCATTCTTCACCAGCAGACTGCACCTGGGCTCGAAAAACCAGGTGGCCAGAGTTGGAACAAGGCAGGTGAGGACTCATTGTTACCTTCGCAGGGGCAGTAGCGGTGCAGAGGGTCTTCGGTGGCCTTGCGACATCTTGGGCAAAGGGCTGAGTATGAGTACCCAGCCTCCCGCCTCCGACTGGCAGGCCATGCCCCTCCGACCGCGATGGCCAGCATGAGCTCTGCTAGTCGGCGGCCGTCTGGGAGCTGCTCCAGCTGGTAGAGAATCTTCCTCATGCTGGAGTTGTCGACCTCCTGCTCGAGACCTGAGCCACAGAACAACTCTGATGCCGTCTGCCACTGCTGTACCTGGAGCGACTGGGAGAAATCTTGTAGCAGGCCCTCCGCCTGGTCAACTCCTTCAAGCTGATCACGGAAAGACCAGCCCTGGGCAACACCATCATCACCAGCGGGCAGATACCACTCATACGGCGCCTGGGGGTCCCAGTTGGCCTGGAGGAGGGAATCAATCACTGCCGTCAAGGGACCTCTGACATGGCGAGCACGATGGGCGGGAGGAACCGACTTCAAATGCAACACAGTGTCCTGCCAAACTCGGAAGACAGGGCGGTGTATTCGAGGGGCCTCGATCCATGATCGAATCCACATCTGAAGAACTCGTCGGGGAAGGCTGTACCCTGGGTCCGCTCCTGGGGCCCGTAGATCAAGGAGCGTCGTCAAGCAACGTTCATGCCTGTGGCCACCAGCGATGGCCCCCATTCTCCGACGTAGTGTGCACAAAGAGGTGTGCGGCAGGCTATGGACCTCATGGCCGTACGTAGCGCCAGCCTGAGGTCCAGCACACTCCACCTTCAGGAGAGTCTTGAATCGTCTAGATACAGAGACAAACTTCTTGATCCTGGTGTGCTGCTTGCGAGTGTGGGCCATCCTCCTGGTCCTGGTCGCCCTGGCAAGCCGCCGACCGCTTCCCAGGTCAACACCTAGGTAGGCAGCTTGTTTGGACACCTGGACCGTGATGCCTCCTCGCCTCTTGAGCCGTTGAACTATAGCACGGGCTGTGTTCATGTCGGAGCACGTGATCACACTCTTGGAGGCGAGCTCGAGGCACTCACTCTGCAAAGCTTCGCTGACCGCAGAAACTCCGCCGACGAGCGCACCTTCAACTGCCGAGGGAGAGCCCACAGCGCTCTGAGACAGATCGTCTATCCAGAGCCTCTCCGACAGCAAAGGATCTGTCATACATCTGGCGAAGCGTGTGCCACTTCGCAGATCCCGGATGATCGACCGAGTGGCCCGGAGAGCAGCCGAGGTTGCATCGAACCGGGCAAGGAGGCGGGGGCCCGCACACACCTGGAGTTCCAGGACAAGTACGCGAGCAGGGAAACCGTACTTCAAAGCTCCTCTGACCAGAACGGACCACTCTCGATCATGCCATAAAAGCTCTTGATATCACATAGTGCGTGCCCACTGGCCATCTTGAGACGAGCGTCTAACTCTTTGTCGAGAGCCATCACATATGCTTCTTTGAGGGCTGAATTCCCTCCGATCGCAGCGTCCCAAGGCGAACAATTGTCGGAGGACCAGCCACGCACCACAGGTTCACGAAGCAAAGACCATACACGACATACTAAGCATACCAGCCCAATCATCCGTTCTCCAGAGCTCTTCTTGGGGAGCAAACGGCCAAGGACAGACATGAGTTGCCACGGCCATGTCATGCACTCCTCGAAGAGAGGGAGGGAAAGAGGGAGGGAGGGAGGGAAGGAGGAGGGAGGGAGGGAGGGGGAAGGGAGGGAGGGAGGGAGGGAGGGAGGATGGAGGAGGAGGAGGAGGAGGAGGAGGAGGAGGGGGAGGAGGAGGAGGAGGAGGAGGAGGAGGAGGAGGAGGAGGAGAGGAGGAGGAGGAGGAGGAGGAGGAGGAGGGAGGAGGAGGAGGAGGAGGAGGAGGAGGAGGAGTCTTCCTCCTCCCCGCGGCCAGGTCGTGCGCATCCGCCCCTACACGCGCGACGTCGCCGGCTCCAACTTCGCGGGGGCCGCGGCGAGGACGAACTTCTCGCTGCAGCTGGGCGCCTCGCCCTGGAGGTCCTTCACGCGCGAGGACTCCGGCAGGCATCTCGGAGGGCAAATGCTGACGAACCAAGAACACACACACCCAAACCCATCGGGGGGGTCGGAGAGGGCTATGGGTGCGTGCTGTCGGATGGGGGTCCCCGCTCGAACGGGAGCGTTCCCCAGGGTCCGACAGCCCGCACCCATGCCCATGGCCAGTCCTCCTCCCAACAACCCCCTTATGTGTATGGGTGTGTGCTGTTCGTTTGTCAAATGCAGACCGAGGCCAACGCCCTCTCCTTGGCCTTCTCGAAGAAAATAAGCAACGCCATAAACGTACAATTTTTTCGGGAGTGGACAGAACCCGCACCCTGACACGTCGATGGGTGAATTGTCCGTTTTCGGTCCTCGAGAGGGCGCCGCGGCCGTCACTTTCCAGGCTTGCGCCCGCCAGGTTTGGGCCCGAGGTCGTTTTCACTAACCCACGTTTTGCTAATGGGGGTTCTGTCCATCCCCGATTTTGGCGCTCGGCGCGGATTTCTTGGCTCCACGCTGGGCCCCCCCCTGGCGGCGCCTCTGGCGCCGCCCCTGGCGCGATCCGCGCTCTGGCGTTTTTTCTTCTACTCCCCTTCGCTCTCGCTTCCGTCCGCCACGGCCAGGTTCGCGACGGCCTGACTCGCATCGGAGTCTGGCTAGAGCAAGCCTCCAGGAGAGTCAGGGGCAACGTCAGGCGGGGATGTAGCGACCCCCCAATTGCCCATTGCTCGCCGATAGGGGCTCCATAGCCCACCCCGCCCAGGAATGTGCAGAGCCGCTATCGGAGGCGTGCTGCGGATCTGTCGCCGACGTGTCGCCACATCCAGGCCGATGTTTACCCCCCCCCCGGGGGCCAGCCCCCCCCCCCCCCCCAGTGATCCTCATCGTGTGGTCTCCGAGCCACACCTCGGGCCTCTGGCGCCGCTGTTCCTCCGCCGTCATTGCTTGCTGCACGCGTGGCCCGGCGCCCTGGCGCCAGCTTGCCGGGCCCTCGCGCGGCTCGCCCCTGGCAAGACCGAGCCGAGTCGAGCCGAACCTCTTACCAGTTTGAAGCATATCCCTATCCCTATGTTTGACATCACCTCACCTCGATGCCGATCTCAAGGAATCCCTCAGCTTTTGAGGGCCCATCCCTAAGATTGTCCCCGCTTTTTGCTCGCCCATCTTAGGGATAGGGATGCGTTTGAGGCTGGTTAACCTCTTGCCTCTGCCGGCCCTTGGGGACGGTCCGGGCACCCCCGGGCACGCCCTCGGCGAGGCGCAGCGGCCAGCAGGCACCACCCCGAGGAGAGCCGGAGCGTTGTGCGGAGGCCCGGCGCGGGCGCCCGAGGAGCCCTGCACGTCTCGGACCTCGCTCAGCGCCCCGCCGCGGGTCCTCCTCCTCCTCCTCCGGCCTCCCTCGACCTCCCTCGACCTTCTACCTCCTACCTCCTCCCCCTCCTCTCCCTCCTCCCCCTCCTCCTGCTCCTCCTGCTCCTCCTCCTCCTTCGACCTTCTTCGACCTCCTACCTCCTACCTCCTCCCCCCGCTCCTCCTCCTCTCCTCCTTCCTCCTCCTCCCCCTCCTCCCTCCTCCGCCCTCCTCCTCCCTCTCCTCCTCCCTCCTCCCTCCCCTCCTCCTCCCCCCCCTCCTCCTCCTCCTCCTCCTCCTCCTCCTCCTCCCTCCTCCTCCTCATCCTCCTCCTCCTCCTCCTCCTCCTCCTCCTCCTCCTCCTCCTCCTCCTCCTCGTACCTCCTCCTTCTCCGCCAGTGGGCATGCTGGCGCCTCGGCGGTGCGCGACTCGAGCTGCTCGGGGGCCCCCAAACTCAGGCGATCGCAAACAAGGATCAAGGGGGCGTGGATTGGCCGCGGGTCACGTTTCCATGGGGCCATTCGGCATTGGCCGCATTTTGGGGGAGGGCACCTCCCCCGATCCATGGATTTGGCGTCCGCGCGCCGAATCCATGGATCGCTAATCCATGTTTGCGCGCCTCCGGTAAATGGGGTGGTGACCACACCGTGTGGTGAGTCGGTGGGGATTCGGGGTCATCCCACGGTTTTGGGACTGGAGTCCCTCTCCGAGGATGTCTCAGGCGACATGGGCCTTCAGGGTCCCAAGGCCGTGCGGTGACGGTCCGTGCGGTGAGGTCTCTTGGGGTTTCGAGGTCACCGCACGGTCTGTCACCGCCCGGTTTTGGGATTGGCGACGACCCACCTTGGCCCCAAGGCGAATAATACTAATAATACTAATAAGAAACAGTATTAATAATCATACTAACAATAAGAAGACTAGTACTACTGTTGATAATAATAAGCAGAAGCGACGTATATATCAACTCTTCCGGCGTTCCGCACGGATTTCTTGAATTTATGATCATGGCGTTTTTGATTTTTCTCCCAAGGGTGCCCAGAGAAGCCATCGAGATGCCTCCTCCTCCTCCTCCTCCTCCTCTTCCTCCTCCTCGCTCGCCACGAGCACGCCAGCAGAACAGCAGTGACGCAGTGCTGGCTGGCGGAGTGAGCGAAACGCTTGCGGCACCTCGCCTCAGCGGCACGGCTCGAGCCGCGATACAAAACAGTAAGAAAAACACCGTTCGCAAACATGTAGACTTTGGGGGCTCCGCGCGGGCCCCCTTCCCTGGCTCGCGGGGCGGTCGCCAGGGGCGGCGCGGGAGGCGCCGCCACGGGGGCCCAGCGCCCGTCGGGCCGAACGGAAGGGGGGGATGGGGAAAGGGGGGGTTACGAAGTCTGCTGCATGCAGTTGGTTTCGGGCCCGCCGCCGGGCCCATGCCTCGATACCTGGGCGCCTCCCGGCGCTGGGAGGCGCTGGGAAGATCAGCTGCGTGAGCTGACTCTCTACCCTACCTTCTGCTATCCCCCCCTTTCGTTCCCCCGAGCCAAACTAAGCAATCCACGCGCAACTCCAACAGTTTACATTTATGCCGCTTTTTGTTAATCTCGTGCAGTCGAAATCCATGATGCGGACAGGTGCCCTTCAGGGGTATCCTTGCATCCTTGCCTCTGCGGTCCGTCCCTGACCACTCGAGATGGCCGGCCCCGCACGAGAAGCCTCGGCATGGGACGGTCAAAGGGCTTGCATTCTCACCGTGCGTCCCTACATAGGGGAATCGTAAGACTCGAGTGCGCCGCAACTCGGGTCTGCCGACGCCTTGTGACGAGCGCGTCATGGGTCTTGACGGTTCAGTTTTCGTCGGATGTGTGCAGCGGGAGGTCGCGTCAAATTTCAGGCTGGGCCTCGTCCTTTTCATGATCGCCCCGTCAGGCCAGCCCGAGTCCCCCGAACCCGAGTCTTATGTCTCCCCGATTAGCATCGCCTGTAAGGCACAGGGTGACGAAGCCTATGCAGATCCGCTGCTCCCTGGTCTGGCCAGGGAGCCGTGGATTTGTCCGGGCCTCGTCGCCCTGAACCGACGCCTCACGTGCGATTTACCGCTCCTTGAACCATCTTGCCTCGTGCGGAGTTTTTAGGGAGGGCCAGGCTTTCCGCCCGAGACTTCCTCACTATTTGTGACTCTGAAGCTTACGTAAAAAGTGATCAGTTTCACAAATGGAGCGCGGGTCGTTTTCAACATGTGGCTATCGCCTAAGCGTTGCGCGCATTCGATTTAACCATTTGCAAGACTTTCACGGATTGAGAGCGGGTCGTTTTCAACATGTGGCTTTCGCTTTAGCGCCGCGCACATTCGCTTAAACAATTTGCAAGACTTTCACGGATTGAGAGCGGATCGTTTTCAAAATGCGGCTTTCGCCTTAGCGCCGCGCACATTCATTTCAACAATTTGCAAGAGTTTCGCGGATTGAGGGCGGGTCGTTTTCAACATGTGGCTTTCGCCTTAGCGCCGCGCACATTCGTTTCAACAATTTGCAAGTGTTTCACGGATTGAGGGCGGGTCGTTTTCAACATGTGGCTTTCGCCTTAGCGCCGCGCACATTCGTTTCAACAAGTTGCAAGAGTTTCGCAGATTGAGGGCGGGCCGTTTTCAAAATGTGGCTCTCGCCTTAGCGCCGCGTGCATTCGTTTTCAAACATTTGTAAGAGTTTCACGCATTTAGGGCGGGTTGTTCTTAACATGCAGCTCTCGCCTTAGCGCCGCGCACATTCGTTTCAACAAATTGCAAGAGCTTCACGGATTGAGGGCGGGTTGTTTTCAAAATGTGGCTTTCGCCTTAGCGCCGCGCACATTCGTTTCAACAATTTGCAAGAGTTTCACGGGTTGAGAGCGGGTCGTTTTCAAAATGTGGCTTTCGCCTTAGCCCCGCGTGCACTCACTTTCAACATCATTTGCATGATATTCACGGATTCCCATGATCAGCGTACCAGAAACTGTGTTTTGGAAGGGTTCAGGATTATGCGGGTGCAACAGTTATGTTGATTCGCGGTGTTGAAGTGCCAGAAATGGCGCTCTGGCACGATTCTGGATCGTCAAGACGCAGCAGTCAGGTTGACACGTGGCGTTGAAATCCCGAGAATTTTTTAGCATGCTTCAGAATCTTCAAACGGTTGTCTTCCAACGAAGCAGTTCCCTCAATGGAAATGAACCGTTGTGGGGGCCTATGAAGAGGGAGTTGGGAGGGAGGATTCATTCCAACATTGTTGATGACTCTTGGCCTTGCATTGGCCCTCCTCCTCCTCCTCCTCCTCCTCCTCCTCCTCCTCCTCCTCCTCCTCCTCCTCCTCCTCCCCCACCGCCCCCACCGCCCCGCCTCGCCCCGCCTCGCTCCTCCTCCATCCTCCTCCTCCTCCTCCCTCCTCCTCCTCCTCCTCCTCCTCCTCCTCCTCCTCCTCCTCCTCCTCCTCCTCCTCCTCCTCCTCCGCCCCGCGCTGAAGGTGTGCATGGCCCCAGTTTGGTGTTTTCGGGGAGGACGCACGGGGCGGCCTGTAAGGAGATCGGCGATCTCCGAAGAGCACCTCCTCCGAGCCCACTGGGGTTTCGCCACCAGGGCAACACAGGCCAGCAGGTTGTCGATCGGCATGTTTGTTCGACACATGCATGTAGACATGTTCATGGGAATGATCTCTTTGAGGGTAGCAATACGTTACTCCGACCCCGATCCCCAGCCACGCCGTGGGGGAGCAGTAAGGTAGGGTTATGCGTAGACATGTTGACAGTGCTCAGGCCATTTCTCAAGGGCAGAGCGGAATGCAGACGTGCTGAGCAATATGTGCTATGTGGCAAATGCTATGCGACCCGCCTTCCAGCCTTCCAGCCCTTTATGCCCTATGGCCTATGGGGCGGTCCTCCCAGAGGGCAGGCGCATGGGACACGCAGTCCCAGCTATGGGCTATGGGACACACAACCCTGATACATTAAATGGGACGCACAGTCCCTGTTATGGGACACGCAGTCCTGGCAAATGGGACGCGCAGTCCCTGTTATGGGACACGCAGTCCTGGCAAATGGGACGCACAGTCCCTGTTATGGGACACACAGTCCTCGCGCAGTTTCGGTTGATGGGACACGCAGTCCCCGCGCATTGGAGGGTGTCTCATGTAAATTTGGAAGAGGTAGTAGTAAGGTAGGTACAGTAGTTGCCAGTTGATTGTGCGCAAGCTATAATTGGCCGTACCAGGCGTGGGGACCTGGGCCGGCACGGGAACGGAAAGAGAGCTTTCAGAAACCATTGTGTGGACCAGCAGTACAGTCGGACTTGATTGGAGATCTGTTACATGATACGAAAAGTTGAACTCAGTACAGCTGCAGGGAGGATGAATCCGTCTCTCCCCGCTTTCGCCGTTTCGGCACGAAAATCGGTACCAATCGTTGCACACTTTCTTTTGAGGCCGTCTCGGCTTCCTCGTGGGAGTTCGTGGGCTCGACGATGGTCGAGGACACCCCCGAGAGAAAATCGGTACCAATCGTTGCAAAAATGGGTAGGTATTGGCGCGAGTGACGCATAGCATATGCGTGGTAGTAGACCTGGGTCGATATGCGACCTATGGGCCCTACGGGATCTACAAGGACGTGTGAGTCCCACGAGCCTTAAATTAGCCCTACGGGGCACTATGAGCCCTACGGGGCCCTACGGGGCCCTACGGGAATTCCGGCCCCTATGGTGCGTGAGGTAGGTACGTGAGGTAGGTAGGTACGTGAGGTGTGCCACGCAAGGTAGCATGATCTATGTTGCAGATACTTCAGTGCTTTCTGATGTTTGAGTTGGAATTGGACCAGAACACAGCATGCCAGCATTGTTAAAGCAAGAAGCGGTCGAAGAAAGGGCGGGTACCGCCTCTGTTGCGTGCCTCCATCGGATAGGGTATCGCGTATCGAGTGAATGATCATCCAGGGCGATCGTGCGCATAGCGCTCGTACAGCGTGTGTCCACCACTGCTGCGTGGTCTCTTGGTTGGTCAGAGCATGCGGACGGTGTTGAAAGTGTTGGGGGGGATTACCGTGGGGGGACCTTTACTCATGCATTCCAGTTTCCAGGGTAGAACGATTTATGTTGCAGATAGTTCAGCGCCTTCTGATGTTTGGGTTGGAATTGTAATTGAACATCGCATGCCACCATTGTTAGGGCACGAAACGGTAAAACATTACCCCTGCCTTAAACGACAGCCGTGACAATCCTCCTCCTCCTCCTCCTCCTCCTCCTCCTCCTCCTCCTCCTCCTCCTCCTCCTCCCCCTCCTCTCCCGCCGCCCCGCCTCGCCCCGCCTCGCCCTCGGGCGTGGCGCGCTGCCCGGTCCTCGGGCATGCGCGCGCGCAGCGGGGGCGAACGCGGCGGCGGGCGGCCCAGGGGCCCGCACGACGCACGACCAGGCGTGTCCCTCCATATTTGTAGATTATATATATATATATATATATATATATAGTTGCTGAAACATGAAAATTAAACCAGCATCATTATACAATACAATGAAGACTAATAATACACATATTCTTCTATTATTAGTATTGCTGTTGCTTTTCATTTCTGTCTTATTCTTCTATATATATATATATGTATATATACATGTGTATATATCTAGATGAATAACATATTTTCAAATTTTGGCCCACAATCCGCCTGTAGGTGGACATGTTCAACTTAAGGGCACACCCGAAGAAGAAACATCGCCATAAGCATCAACTCTTGGCGCTCCGCGCGGGTTTCTTGGATCCGAGCGGACCATGGACAGTTAATGTTTCTGCCGTTTTTTTTTTGTTCCTCTATGAATGCCGGTTGTTGAAAGTAGGTATCGCGAAGGTCTTGCGGTTGGTGCTGCAGACCCTGAATGGGGGACGTCGACGACGGCGGCGGTGGCGGCGGCGACGACGACGACGCTGACGTGGGCCCGAGTCCTCAGGGATGCTTCTTGGGGTCTGTTGGGAATGCTCTCGGGAGCCTCTGGGGAGGAACCTTGGGGTCTGTTGGCAGACTCTTGAGGGCCTCGTGGGGGCCTTTTCGGATTTCTTGGGGGCCTCTTGTGGACTTCTTGGGGCCTATTGGGAACCTCTTGGGGCCTCCTGGGACTCGAAATGCCCGTTCGGGTTCCCCGTCAAGGCACGCTCTTGGAGCCGTCTTGGGGGCCTCTTGGGCTTCTTGGAGGCGTTTTGGGCTGTCTTGGGGTTCTCTTGGGATGTTTTGGAGCGCTCTTGGAAGCCTCTTGGAGCGTCTTGGGCCAACTTGAGGGCCTCGTCGGCCGTCTTGGAGCGGCGGGAAGCGGAAAATGCGAGAACGCCCAAATCCGTCAAAACCCTAAGGTCAATCACTGATTTTTGCCCCGTGTGGCCCTCTCGGGAGTGCCTTTGTAGGACTCTTGGGGCGTTTTGGAGGTCTTCTGGGCAATCTGGGAGCGTGAAGGCGTTTTGGACCGATCGTTTGGCGATTGGGGCCTTCTTGGACCGTATCGGGGGCCTCTTGGGGCACTCTTGGCTTGTTTTGGTACTTTTTGCAGCCCCGGGACCCCCTGAGTGGGATGGGTACCTGACTCCCCCCGCCTCGGGACCCCTCCTGGACCACCCCCCCAACGGGGGAGGGATCAAAGGGAAGGGGCTTCCCTTCGATTCGATTATGACATTGCGAGGTTTTTCTCTTGCTGATAGGCTGGAGGAGGATACAGGGAAAAGGAACGACGCAGACGACGACTGACGGAGACGACGACTCGAACAGAAAAATCCCTCGCACACGCCGACAGGGCAGGCGGATTTCTGGATTCCCAGGTGCTGATCTACTTCAAACGCCTCCCTGCGTCAAGGGTTGAGCTGCCTTCTTTGCTTTTTGCCACTCCTTGGGCGGGCTCCAGCCCAAATCCACTATGCGCCTTCCGACTCTTCCGATTGGCGGTTGCGGAGCGAATCGAGTTTCCTGGGCTCGCCACCTCCCAGGGCCGCCCACCACCTCAAAGGGCGCGTCTGTATTTCGGGCGATCCCGCGCTGGAGGGGCCGACATCGAGGTCACTGGGATCCCTATGCTGCGACCAGCTTTATGTCGGGCACGTCCCTCTACAGGACGATTTTTCTACTCAACAGGGCTCGCTGTCGGCGCTGCCACCGGGCGTCGTCCGTTCGAGGCAGGAGGCCGCCTACCCAACGGCCGCTGCCGTTTTTGGACAGCATGTGTTTTTGTGTATCGTATCATTTTTTTCGGAGGTCGATAGACCTCCTGCCCTGATGCGTTGATTTGTCCACCGCCGATGCTTGTCCGTACCCATTCCGGGCGTCCAAGAAGCGGGACGTGGGAGGGAGCAGGCCGTCGGAGAACGTGGCGGGGCTTCTCAGAGGCCGTCGCGCCTTCTGAGGAGCCGTCCGTGCCCTGGGGAGGCGTTTTAGTGGAAGGCTTTCCGGCAGGCTTCGGGGGCTCCTCAGAAGGCCAGACGCCCTCCGAGTCTTCTGGGAAGCGCCGCCCCTTCTGACTTCCCCCACTGGCTCGCCGCCAACAGTCGGCCCGAACGAAAGGGGGGGACACAGGGAAAGAGGGGGTTACGAAGTCCGCTGCATGCAGCTGCTTCTGGCCCCGCCGCCGGGCCCATGCCTTGATACCTGGGCGCCTCCCGGCGCCGGGAGGCGTTGGGAAGATCGGCTGCGCGAGCTGATTCTTTGCCCTGCCCTCTGCCATCCCCCCCCTTCCGTTCCCCCCGAAACAGGAGAGAGGCCCCTCGGCTCTCGCGCTCGGAGAGTCTTGCTTCTCGACCCTCTCCTCGCCGAGAGGCAGCTCGCCGTCGTCGGCCGGGTGACCGTCCGCTTCGTGTGGAGGGAGGAGCCTCCAGGGGCAACGTTGAAGTCGGGCCTGTCCCTCTACAGGAGGAATATCCCAAACTGCTAAAGAGATAGTTTGGGGCCGATTCTTGAAGTTTGGTTTGGTATTTTTCTTTGTCATTTTTTGTTTTTCGTCCAAAGCCGCCTGGAGGGGGACACGCCCGACCACGGGCAACGTCAGTCCAATGGCAGTTTGCCTTCGGGGGGCCCCTCGTGCCCCGGCTGGGCGCAGCTCGGAGCGCTGGCGCGCTTGCCGAGGCCCTGGGAGGGGCCCCGGTGCCGATGTCGAGCCGCCGCTCCGTGTGGGGGGGAGGAGCGTCCAGGGCCAGCGCCCAGGGGGGGGGGGTTAGGCTCGGGAAGGTTTCGGGTTCGGGGTGGGAGGTTTTCGAGGACTCCGCCGGCTCCCGCCGGTGTTTGCAGCCTCGGGGTGCCTTCCAGCGGCTGCGCCTTGCCAGGAGCGCTCGGGGGTTCCCAGATCGCCCCGAACGGCCGCCAGAGAGCCGAGTCATGGCTCGAAATCCAAGGGGCAACGTGGGGGGTGAGCGGCTCATGTGGGAATGCATCGACGATCGCCCACTCATCGCTGAGGGGAGCCCGATACCTGGTCCCGCCCGGGACCTGGCGGATTCTCTATAGTTGGTCCAGGGCCTGCCCCCCCCCCTCTGAATGCTAACAGGATCGGCCTCCATTCCCGATAGGTTCCCCCCCCCCCTCTTGGTGGGGGGTGGTGCCATTGTGGAACCCTCTTCGCCGCCGTAGTCGTCGTCGTCGCCTCCCTGAGTGTGTGGTGTGGTGCTGTAGTGCTTCAGGGAGCGGGAGACCGTCGTCGTCGTCGTCGTCGTCGTCGTCGTCGTCGTCGTCGTCGTCGTCGTCGTCGTCGTCGTCCCCCATGCCTTCTGGGTTGGGGTCCGCGGGGCCCTGGACCCCATCCCGTCTCGGGGGGGCGGGGGGGGCTCCTGGGCCTCGAGCTCTGGAGCACATCTCGAGGCCCGTCGACGACCCCTCGGCGAAAGGTGTCGCCGCTTCCGACGGCTCTCCCCCAGAGCCAGTCTCCCCCGTCTCCCCCCGTGCTCCTCGTCTCGGGAGCCTTGAGACGGGGTCAAAGCAAACGGGGGCCAGCCAGAGCGCCCGATCTTGCAGGATCCAGCAGGGCCAGGGGCGCATTTTACCTGGGTTTGGTCGCAGCATCCTGCAGGATCTTGCAGGATCCTTCGCATTGACCCGGGTTTGGGTGCAGGATCGTGCAGGATTTTGCAAGGCCCGACTGACCCGGGCTCCCGATCCTCGTTCCTGGCCGTCGAGCCGTGATCAGCTCGGGTCTCTGGCGGCCGCTCGGGACGATCCGGGCACTCCAGGGGCTCCCATGGCGCGGCGCAGCCGCTGGGTAAGGCCTCCCGAGGCTGGCAGGAGCCGCGGATCAGCGGCGAAAGCGCCAGGAAGCAGCAGCAACCTGGAGCCTCGACTGCGGGACGGGAAACTGACCACAGCCACTGCTTCTTGTTTGCGCCGCCTTCCAGCCGGCCGAAAAAGAAACAGTGGCTGTGGTCATTTCCCTGGTGCCAAGCTCAGCGAAAATGACCACAACCGCTGCTTTTTTTCCTGCGGGCTGGAAGGCGGCAACAAAAGAAAAGCAGTGGCTGTGGTCGTTTTCACGCCCCGTATCGACGGTTCGAGCTGGTCCCCCTCCTCCGCCGCCAGGTCTCCCCCCCCGCCGGACTCGCCCTCCCCCCCAGGAGTTCGGCCAGCGCGTGGAGGCCCAGAGCCTGGAGCTCTCCGTGGTCGGCGAGGGCGGGGAGGCCGCGCTGCTCTCCGTGCTGCAGGCCTTCCGTCGGGCACGTCCCTCTGCAGGAGGAGCACTCCAGTCTTGTCAAAAACCATAGTCAGGGGACGATTATGTTTGCTATTTGTGAGCATTTTTGACTATTTTTTCATTCTTTTTTTTGTTGTTCGGCCAAAATCGGACTGCAGGAGGACATGCCCGACCCAGCGCAGGCCCCGCACCAGTCCCTGAACCTCGACATGTGGGGCCTGGGCCGCCTGGGCCACTCGAGGGTCGCGGGCGTGCTCGGCACCGAGGCCGGAGCGCAAGCATCGCAGAAGAAGCAACGCTGTGGACAATTTTTTGGCGCTCCGCGCGGATTTCTTGGATCCGCGCTGGACACCCCCCTGGCGCGCGGAGCGCGCCCCCTGGCGGCGCCAGCGCGCCTGGCGCACCCCCCGGCGCCGCCCCTGGCGCGCTCCGGGTGTCCAGCGCGGATCCAAGAAAGCTGCGCGGAGCGCGAACAGTTTATGTTTATGGCGTTCTTCCTTGTTCTCGGCGCGACGGCGACCCCGCCGCGAGCGTTCGAGGTTGAACGCCGCCAGTGGCCCAGTCGCCGTTTTGGCGATCGGAAAACCACAGATCGTGCAAGGTTGAACGATCCACTCGGTGTCAGAAACCAACGCCACGGTCGTCACGACACGAACCTGCCGTAGGCCTCCGAGATGGGATCAGAGCGGCCGGGGTCGGAGGATCGCCCCGCATCGCCGATGAGTCGCCGATGCGGCTCGATGTGGAGCCCGACTCTCTCCACGCCGATGCACCTCCTACGTCGCCGATGCGTCGGTGATGCATCGGGCATGCGGCGCGACCCTCCGACCCTAGCTGCTCGGACCCCAGCTGGGAGGCCTCTCTGTGTAGACGTTCATGCAGACAGCGGTCTTTGGCCTCCTGGGGGGCCTCCCTCGTCGCAAGGGCCCGGCGCGGCGCGGAACACTGCTGCCTCTGGACCCTGGGAGGAGGAGAGGAGGAGGAGGAGGAGGAGGAGGAGGAGGAGGAGGAGGAGGAGGAGGAGGAGGAGGAGGAGGAGGGGGAGGGGGATGGGGAGGATGGGGAGGATGGGGAGGAGGAGGAGGAGGAGGAGGAGGAGGAGGAGGAGGAGGAGGAGGAGGAGGAGGAGGAGGGAGGAGGAGGGAGGAGGAGGAGGAGGAGGAGGAGGAGGAGGAGGAGGAGGAGGAGGAGGAGGAGGAGGAGGAGGAGGAGGAGGAGGAGGAGGAGGAGGAGGAGGAGGAGGAGGAGGAGGAGGAGGAGGAGGAGGAGGAGGAGGAGGAGGAGGAGGAGGAGGAGGAGGAGGAGGAGGAGGAGGAGGAGGAGGAGGAGGGAGGAGGAGGAGGAGGAGGAGGAGGAGGAGGAGGAGGAGGAGGAGGAGGAGGAGGAGGAGGAGGAGGAGGAGGAGGAGGAGGAGGAGGAGGAGGGGAGGAGGAGGAGGAGGAGGAGGAGGAGGAAAGAGGCAGAGGAGAGGAGGAGGAGGAGGAGGAGGAGGAGGAGGAGGAGGAGGAGGGCGAGGGGGGGGGGATGGGGAGGGGGAGGGGGAGTATATTGCTGGAGGTTGTTGCTACAGAGAAGTTCGACGCGTTGCTACGCCTCCTCGCTGTTAACTTACTCGTAAGTTAACGCTGCCTTCGGGGGGGAGGGCTCCTCAGCGAGCGTCCAGCCCCCCCCGTCCGTCCTCTTCCCAAAGTCCTTGGAGGAACTACCCAAAACAGGCATGGGACGTCCGCACTCCCCCCCAGCGGGGGGAATAGGCCATTCCATCCCCGCTTTCGGAGGGCGACCCTTACGGAGACGGTGAAACATGGTGCGCCCCGAAGGTGTTCGTACTCTCGGGCGCACCTCGGCAAGCTTGCACAGCCTACCTTTACAACCCACGATTGTCGCATATCGAGCGCACCCCCAACACCACGCCAAGCCATGCTGCATGGCGATCGAGTGCGTGGGGTGAACCGATTTGGCGCCAACTCGGATGGTTCTAACCAAGGTGGGGGGGGGGACATGAACGTGGTGGCCTTGCTCGCTGAGGTCCCTCGAGGCTTCATCCCCAAGGCACACACCTGCTTGCAAACAGTCAATCACGGAAACACGCCCAGGGGTTTGGCGGCAGATGTCACAGATCCATTGGCCATTCCCCAGGCGTCGGAGGCTGTGGCCCGATCGGACCTCAAGCTCCTGAATTCTCGTGAGTCTTCCATCCGACCCCGCCGTCCCGAACTCCCCACGACACTACTTATCGACCTCACTACAGGTCTGGGCCAAAATAGCCCCCATTCTCTGGTGCACTAAAGTGGCCCTCGCATCGATTATATTGAGGGACTTGATCTGACTTCTAATCAAATCGGAGGCGGCCTCCGCTCCGCGCTGGGCCAGCGTGTCCGCCATCTCGTTCCCACGAGATACTTCTACTGGTTGGCCTGTCTTTACATGGGAATCTACATCCAAGTGCGAACAACATTTTTGGGACCCTGACTCGGCCCTCGCCTCAAGCTTCGAGGGCGCGCCGAATTCGGGTCCACCATCGGATCAAGGGCCCTTGGGGGTTCTCTCCAAAGCCTAGGTTCCAACCGTCAAGAACTGGCACATGTCCATCACGGGAGGCAGAACCACCCCGACCCCCATCCTTGGCGTTTGCGGAGCGGCCCCCTGGGCGTCTGCGGAACGGTCCTGCCCTGTTCGATTCTTGCCATGGATGCGCATCCGAAACGCCTTTGCGCTTGTCGGTGTGAATGGGGCCGCCTGTGATCCTTTCGATGCGGTTTGATTTGCTGGCTGGGGCCGCGATTACGACTCGATTCGATTCGGCTCAGTTCACTGGCATCGGACGGGGCCAACTGGAGACGGGCTCGGCGATTCGGTCTGGATTCGATTCGGGGCGATGTGCCGTCGATGCGGTCCGTTTCCGATCCGATCCGATTTCGCGATTCGACTTGGCTCAGTCGTGCAAAACGTTCAGAGGTCCGCGCGGGCTTCTTGGCTCGGCGATGGCTCCACCCTCCCCTCCAGGGCTGGACCTACACGCTGTTTTGCTGGCGTTCGGCTGTGTTCTGTTAATTGCTCTGGCAGGGAGGTGCGGGACAACAGGTAGAGCAAAACGAAAAACAACACGAAAACAAAACGAACATCAACATTTCGGTCCAGATGTGTGTGCGGCCGTGTCTGTCTGTGTGTGTGTGTGGTTGTGTGTGTGTGTGTGTGCGTGTGTGTGTGTGTGTGTGTGTGTGTGTGTCTGTGTGTCTGTGTGCATGTGTGTCTGCAGGGGAGGCAGGAGGAGCAGAGGAGGAGGGAGGAGCAGAGAGAGAAGACACGTGGGTGCGACGCGGCAGGGCAGAGAACACCAGAACCCCACGAGACCCTGTGGGGCACAGAGGTCGACAAACAGCCTTCCAGCCCCGCCCTGCTCCCCCCCCCGCCCGGGCGCGCCTCGGGGCCGGCGCCAGGGGGGGGGGGGGGCGATGTATGCCGCGGCGAGCGCGCGCCTGCCAGGGGCTTGGCATCGCTCGGACGTGTGCATTTTTCCGTCGGCGAGGACCATCGAGGAGCATCCCTGATCATTTGGCGAAGACACCACGCACGAAACCGAAACAAAACACGGGGAATGGACGTCAGAGCGATGGCAGGGGGGGTGCCCGGCGCCGGCCCCGAGAGACCTCCGCGCGCAGGGGGCCTCCGGAAGCGGGCGCTCGCGTCTCGCCGGGCATGTCACACTGCAGTGCCGTTTTGTTCCCCATGGCCTAAGGTGGAGTTCTTGTGATTACTCTGGCGCCTCCTGCTCCTCCTCCTCCTCCTCCTCCTTCTCCTCCCCTCTCCTCCTCATGCCCAGACTTGCTTATACACAGACTGACTCACACTCAGACTTACTCATACCCAGACTTACTCACACACAAAATTACTCATACTCAGACCTCCTCATACTCAGACCTCCTAAGTTGGTGCTCGTGTCCAGCCGGGCATGTCACAGTGCAGTGCCGTTTTGGATACATGTTCCGCGTGCGGATCATGTATTATACATGCAGGGATTTAGTACTAAACACAATGCTGATTGCATGCGCAAGTTCATACATACATTGATAATGTATTAAACATTCATTTTTTAATCCGATGTATTAAAAACTGCCCTGTAGGGAAACAACAAGTGACATAAACATAACAATTCGGAGGTCCGCGCGGATTTCTCGGATCGGCGCTGGGCCCCCCCGGCGGCACCTCGGGCGCCGCCCCTGGCGCGCTCCGCGCGCCAGGGAGGGGGGTCCAGCGCCGATCCGAGAAATCCGCGCGGACCTCCGAGTTTTTGTGTTTATGATTTTTTTTGTTTCCATAATCTTCAAAAATAGTACAATAAAAAGTCTGGGGACGATGTTTCGACCATTTTGATCATTTGCGGGTACCTTTTGACTACTTTGCATTTTTCTTCCAACATCTGCCTGTAGGAAGCCACGCCCGACCCAACGCCAGGGGTGCCCGGCGCCAGCTCGAGAAAGTTCAGCGCGCGGGACTCCGGAAGTTGGTGCTCGTGCAGTGTTGCATGGACACCTGTGCGAGTCCTGCCGTTTCTCAGGAGGAACAGGCACCCTGAAGTCGGGCCTGCCCCTTTATAATTTATAGGAGGAGTATTCAAAAATAGCAAAAAAAAGTCAGGGGTGGATTTTTTAAACCATCTTTGACAATTTTGGAGTATTGTTTGTCTATTTTTAATTTTTCGTCTAACATCCCCCTGTAGGGGGACACGCACGACTTAAAGGTACACACACCTCTATACTTCCCCCGTTTTCCCCTTTCATGGGCCTCCTGGGAGGCCCTCGTCGCCAACGCTGGCTTCGCCTCGAAATCCCAAGGGCGTCCTCGAGGGCGCGAAGTTATTGGCGTTTCGCGGTTCGGCTCCGATTCCTCCTCATCCTCCTCTTCTCCCCTGGGAGGCGGCGCGAGAGCGCGAAGTTTTTCGTACTTCGCGCTTCGCGCTTCGCGCAGCGCCAAGCGCGAAGTTGGGAGCCCTTGAAATCCTGGTCGGAACGCACTCTGGGAGAGGTCGGGGGAGTAGCGGCATCGGTACCTTTTTAGTTTCCCTAGTTAATTATGGTAAGCCCGATGCTGGGACTTCTCCAAAACCACCGCCTGAGGGACGGGTCTTCGGGGACCTCGGCGGGCGTTGGACCTGGATCTGTTCGGCCCCCCTGGTGCCAATATGTGTATCTGTGTCCACCGCCCGCTGGAGTACCAGGACATCGGGTCCACAGGCGGTGGATACGGACATTCTCCCGCCTCGCAGTAAGGGGTACGCACTCGCGAGTTGTCTCTCTTTGAGACGGTTCCGCGGAGCAGTGTGGCCGTAATCAGGTCACGTATCGAAGTGTGCGTACAGGATTCTGAAGTCCAACTTCATTCTCTGTCGGCGTTGAGCGTTCCAGCATGCGCGACCTGCTTCTGGCCGCAGAGTGCCCGTCGGAGCGGGGGCCCTGGCACCGCATGGAGAAGCGGCTTGTGGAACGCGTTGATCATCGGCTGTCCGCGTCCA